AATGTTACCCTTTCTCCTCCCCTACTGACTTTGTTATTGGAGAGACTGAACCAGTAGGAGTCAATGCATTTAAGCAGGAGCACAATGGGACATACCAAGGACAAACAGGAGCAAATGGAGGGAGGGAGGCAGAGAGAGAGAGAGAGAGAGAGAGAGAGAGAGAGAGAGAGAGAGAGAGAGAGAGAGAACTGAAAGATTTAAGGAGCACCCCTTGCACCAGAAAAAAAAACTTCTGGCTATAGACTCAAGAAAGGACTTTCAGTAACATAAAGTTGTAAATTTGTCCTTTGGTTATAGGAGTTTTCTACAGTTAGAACCCACTCTGCCATTGACCTTTGTGCACTTGTGGGAGAGTGTGCCCCAGACTTTGGGCGGAACACATTTGTACCAGTTCTTACTGTACCATTTAGTAAAAGATAACTTTTTTCAGTAAAAGCTAATTTTCTAAAAGCTAACTTTAGTCTGGCTGACTGATGTTGATGGGAAATACACTGATAGGGGCTCATGAAGGATGATACTAGTAACCCCAGCCCCTTGAAGTCTGAGGGAAGTAGTATTCTACACTCTGGGGACTCAGCTGCTATTGGAAGTGAGAACTGGGAGAAGGGAGGGAGAGATTTTGCTAGTGATTAGAGTTATATGCCCCGAATGTAAACTCCTTGTGTGCAGGACCTGTTGGGGTTTTGTCTTTGTATCTTAAGCACCTAGCACAGTGCCCTATAGCAGTGAAGTAGACATTTAATGAATTCATTAAGTAGAATTCAGTGACCACCGCCTGGTTTTTCTAACTGACTGAACAAATGACAAGTTTAAAGTTTACAACAACTCTATGAGAAAGGTAGTGCAGGGGTTATCACCCCATTTTACAAATAGGGAAAGTGAGTTCCAGAGAAGTCAAATGACTCACCCAAGGTCACAGTGGATAAGAGAGCAGGGGTTCGAATCCCATGCTCTGAGTCTAAACCCTGTGGCAGCAGAGCCAGCCTCTCCCCCCAGACCGTAAGGGTCCTAGCTGGTTGATTTTCCCTTTCTTTCTCCTGCTGACTTTCTCCCTCCTCCTGTCCTGTGCTCTCTTTCCTTCCGGGGGTTGGGGTGGGGGTAGGGGGAAAGCCCTGCGTCTCTTTTCTTCCACGCTTGTTTGGGGGCCGGGGAATTCTCCCCAGCTCCAGGGGAAAGGGGCGGGCAGATTTAAAAGGCTAGCCACGAGGCAGTGAACCGGTCGATAGCAGACAAGCCGGCTCCTTCCCTTGCCTGCCGGGCAGCCCAGCCCCTTCCCGCATACCCTGCCAGGGGGGACGGCCCTTCTTAAGGGGGGAGAGAAAGGGGGGACCCCAGGAGAGTGAGAGACCATGTAAGGCTCGCAGACTGGGCGTATTGATGGATGATTCTCTACACTCTCTCTACATTCTTCCATCTCTTTCCAAGTCTGAAAGGGGGTGGAACCTGGTAAGCCCCAGACAATTTTGCCACCCCCGACCTCTGGATGCTGGTCCAATTCTTGCCTGGCTTTGGGGCTGGGCTGAGTCCTGGCCAATCTCAGTCTGGAGGCCCTTATCCGCCAGAAAGGGTTCCTGTGTTAGGTGGGATCAAAGCCATAATATGGGACGGAGCCCCTCCCATTTCTGTCTTGCTTTTAAGGTTCGCATAGCTCTTTCCTAACAATGACTGTGCTGTAGTATCATATTTATTATCTTCCCGTTTCACAAATGAGGAAACTGAGGACCATTGAGGTGAAAGGACTGGCTCACGGTCACACAGTTAAAGCAGGCTGCTGAACAGGCATTCCCACCCAGGTCCTCAGACTTCAAACCAAGTATTACAAACTGCCTGCGTGAAATAGTTCAGTTTGAGAGGGCCTGAATGGTTTCTTGTGGGGGAAAAGAAATTTGTTCCAGTCAGTGGCACTTTGTACACGCTAGTCCCTCCCTGTCTCAGCAGGGATGGTCTAATGTAGTCCTTCTTGGACAATGTTTCTGATCAAATGAGATAATGCATATAAATTGCTTTGTAAAGAAAAATGTTATATAAATCTAAGCCATTATCATTGGGGGAGGGGTCATTTCTGCAGGCTTAGGAAACTCCGCCATCTCTGGCAGTCCCAATTTACCTGAAGAGAGTTTGCTGGGGAATGATCAGGAGTTTAAGAGTGAGGCTTGGCCAGAAGTGGCTAGTGTGTATCAGGGGTCCTCCTGACTCTCAGGTCAATCCCCTGACCTTTACACTAGGCTGGCTCTCTTAAGTGATTGTGAGAATGCTTATTCTTGGCCCAGGGACCACCTTGGTCGCCTCTGTCTAAGAATCTCCCCCTTTCTACCCCCCCAGGTTGGATGGGAAGGTTGAGAGAGGCAGCTATGGGGTAGGAAAGAGCACAAGACATGGATTCATATCCCATCACTGCCTCTGTCTTCTTGCATGTCCTTGAGCATGTCATTTTCTCTTCAGGTCTCAGTTTCCTCATCTGTAGAATGAAGTGGGGCGTGGATTAATAATGTTGGTAATTTTTTGACTAGGTGATGGTGTATCTCAAGTCAGGTTCTCTTGCTGCCCTTGAGTTCCGGGTCCCATAATGCAACTCACGACTTTTGTGTGGTCAAAGAGAAAAGAGTCCAGCTTTCACAGCTCATTTTGATAGAACTGTATAATTATGGGCTCCTCCAACTTGAATCTCTCTGGAAACCAAGCAGCAAGACGAAGTCCCAATCAGTGAGGTGTCCACCCCAAGCCTAACTCCATGGAAAGTGCCCTTTAGTGTCTTCAAGCAAGAGCAGGATCCTTTTCCTCTTCTGGGGGGTGGGAACTGGCGGGGGGGGGATGGAGAGGGTGGGTAGGGAGCTGTGTGGTACGATGTGCCTCCCAACCTTGGCTCTGCCACTTACTAAGGTGGCAAAATGGATACAGAGCTGGGTCTGGAATCGGGGGTTTCAAATCCTGAGTCACTTACTAATTGTGGGACCCGGAGCAAGTGACTTAACTCCTATTTGTCTCAGTTTCCTCATCTATAAAATGGGGATAATAATAGCAGCTATCTCCCAGGGTTGTTGTGAGAATCAAATGAGATAATAATGGCAAAGTGCTTGGCACAATGCCTTGCACAAAGAAAGGACTATATAAATGTTACTTATCATCATCATCGTCATTATCACCATCACCATTACAATCATTATCACCATTACTTGGGTAATAGTAGACAAGTGACTTCACTTCTCTGGTCTAAGCTTCATCTGTAAATCGAAAAGGTTGGAGCAGAGGACTTCTGAAGACCTTTTTAGCCCTAAGTCTATGATTCTGGAGTCTCATTAAGAACTGCCCTACTCAGCCTCCCCTTACAACAAAGTAGAGTGAGATGGGGCAATAGGCTGACAAAGTTCTGTAGAAAATTTTGAGGAGAGAAGATCCCTTCCTGCTGGGCAGAGCTTGGAAAATATCCAAGGAAGAGAAAAATGTCAATATACAGAAAGCATAAGATTTTGAGGTCAACTAGTACAACACCCTTCCTTCCTCCCCACCCCCCAATTTATTTATTTTGTAGAGTTGAGGAAACAGGTCTCTATTTCCTTATCTCTGAAATGAGAATAATAATTCCAGCTCCCATCTGTCTCCAATGTTTTGTGGGGATACAAAAGAGATGATATCCTATGAACTAGTTAAAAAGCACAGTGGGTGTGAGGGGGAGTTCTGAGCCCCAGTGAGAAGGAGTGGGTGGCACAGCAGGGGAAATTTAGAAGAAGGGAAAGAAGGTTGAATCCCCTGCAGGGAAAGAGGAAATCATGCAGCAGTGAGGGCCACTCCTGAGCCCCTTTCCCAAGGCTAGTAACAGCCCAGCGTGTAAATTCCTTTAACACGAGAGTGTGGAGGGAATACAGGGGTTGACCATCCTGTTGCTATGGCCCCTTCTTGCCCAGGGAGGTTATCTTGGTACATGGCCACCATGGCAGGAGGCTCTGTTGGGGGCACAGCATGGTGAGGGAGCAGAGCTTTTCCAAGGTGGTTGACTTATAAGCAAGGGGTGGGGGATGAGGGATCAGGGTGGTGTAGTGGAAAGAACCCTGGACTTGGCATCAGATGAACCCGGGTTCAACCCCCACCCCCACCCCCTGCGTGACTCTGGAAGAGTTCCTTTAGCTCTCCAGGCCTTCTTTTTGTCCTCTTCAAATGAAGAAATCAGGAAAGGCTTTGTGGAGGAGGTGGTGTCTGAATTGAGTTCAGGCAGTGATCGTAAGCCTGGAACCCAAGGGGAGTCCCTAGAGATAATGTTCCTTCTGGCTCTCAATCCTACGATTGTTTGACTTGTGAACCAAAGTGAGGCTCAGAAGGATAATGACAACCGTATTCCCAAGGCACTTCCCTCACAAGCATTTTCCCTGCCTTGGCATCAGCCTGTCCTGCCGAGACCCCTGAGGGGGGCAGCCCCAGAGGAGCTTAGGCAAGAGCCAGCTTCTACAGAGGATGTCCTGGCATAGTGGAAAGAGCAAGTCAGAGTAGTTAAAGTACCATATTCCAGGCTTGCTCTGATACCACCTGTGTGACTATGGACAAGTCATTTTACTTTGGAAGCCTTAGATTCCTCTCCTATAAAATAGAGTAATAATTCTTGCTCTCTTAACCACTGGTTCTGATGAACTGGGAAACAGATTACAAACTCCACCAGGAAGCCTGACACGGTAGTCATGAGTAGTTTCAATCTGTAGCTGATTTCTTTTTCCTCTTCTTCTTCCTCCACCTCCTCTTCTTCCTCCTCCTCTTACCTCTCAGGCTGGAAAGTGCAGTGGACCCTCATGTACTTGTCTCACCACGGATCAGCCTGGAAGCTTTGACCGGCTCCATTTTTGACCTGGGCTGCTCCTTAGGTAGCCTGGTGGCGCCCTGCTCTTGAGGATTCTGAATACTGGGGCCATGCAGTACAGACTTTTGACCGTCTGGCTTTAGCGCTAATGGAACCAAGCTCAAGTGATCTGGCAGCCTCGGCCTCCCCAGTAGCACGGACTACAGGTGCCACCACACCTGCCCAGCATGTATATTTTTGATTTGCCTGAATGATAATTTTGTATGACCAACAAAGAGAAGCTAGTTACTGAAGTCAAAATGATGAGAATTCTGGAGGTAAGTAACCACTCCACCTTAGAACCTATGATGGAGATGAAAGCCAGGTGTCTAATATACAGCTGAGATTCAAGGAGAGCATATTTCAAAGGTTTTTGAGGAAGGATAAGTACATTGCACGGTCTAAAGGGCAAGCAAGGCCTATGAGGGATGAGAAACTCGCAAGAATGAAACCATTAAGTTACAAACATGAACAATTCCGAAATGGTGGAAGAACCAACATGGGAAACATTCTAAGTCTGATTCTCACCAACAAAGAGGAACTGGTTACTGGTGATGATGTGACCCTTGGAGAGAAGTGACCACTCCACCTTAGAATTTAGATGACGAGGGAGAAGTGGGGGCATGATCTGCCTTGCCCCCTAAATGTTAGGAGACCAGATTTCAAAGCACACAGAAGAAAGATAGGCTGGATACCATGGACCAGAATTCTACAGGGGAAGTCAGCCTAGGAGAGATGGGAGATGCATGACAACACCATTCTGAAAACACAAAGAAAAATGATTCCCAGGACAAAAAAAAAAAGATGGAGTTGTCTTATGAGACCAATATGTATATACAGGGAACTCATCAATCAACTTAGGATTAAGAAAGACATGCACAGAAGATGGACACAAGGACAGGTAAAATATGAATGGCTGGCTGGCTGGCTGGCTGGCTGGCTGGCTGGCTGGATGAATGAATGAATGAAAAAGTATTTATTAAGTGACTGCTACATGGCAGACACGTTGGATGCTGGGGATATTAATACAAAAGTGAGACAGTCCCTGCCCTCAAAAAGCTCACATTCTAGTTGGAGAAAACAACACATAAAGGGGAGTGGAGATTAGGAAAGAGAAATTGATCTGGGTAAGTGTGTCCTGTAGTGGCAGGAGAAGATGGCATGATACCCAATGTGGATGACAGAATGGGATGTGAAGTATTGTCTGGGACCAGCTCAATATAACTGGTTAGATGAGTTTTTCATTCACTTAATCAGACGATTCAGCCTGAGGGTACAGTACCAAAGCTGAATGGATTCACTCCTCTAGGGAGGGGAGCACGGTCTCTGGGATGCTGATCAGGGCAGGAGGATGCTGTTCTAGGTGGGGAAAAAGGGAGTACCTGCAGGGCAGACAGCAAGATGCTAAGGGTGAATGGCTGCATGAGATGCGATGAATACGAAAGCAGGACCTGATCCTCTAAGCAGAGTGTCATCAGCAATAAAGCCGGGAAGGCACTTGGGGCTGGGGAGAAAAGCCAAGGATGAGGGATTTGTTGTGGTTTAGTTGGCAGGTTTTTAGCTATGTTGAGGAAAAAAGAGTGTGAACAAAGGGATAAGACCACTGCTAGAGGTAGATGAGACAATGGTAACTGAAGATAGAGAGAAGTCTCAGCTGTTAATTTGGTTGTTTCATTTGCCAAATAGAATAACCATTAGAATGGAAAACATAGAACATCTCTAGCTAACAGGGCACTGATGCTCAAGATAAATAAGGAGGGAGTCAGTTAAGAAGCATTTATTAAGTGTCTGTTATGCTTTAAGCACTGTGCTAAGTAACCTAAGTAAAGGGACACAAAAATGGCAACAGGCAATCCCTGCTTTCAAGGAGCTGACAGTTTAATGGGGAAACAACATGCCAACAACTGTACAAACAAGCTATATGCAGGATAAATTGGAGAGAGTCAATGGAGGGAAGGCATAGACATTAAGAGGGATCTGTAAAAGATGAGATATTAGCTGGGACGTGAAGGAAGCTAGGAGTTGGAGATGAAGAGGGGGAGTATACTAAGCGTGGGGAACAACCGGTGAAAATGTGCAGAGTTGGGAAATGGTGTTTCAAGGGACAGCCAGTATCACTGGATTGCAGTGTACATGGTGGTGGGTTGGGGGATGGGGATGGGGTGGAAGTGGGGTATGTGTGAGGGAGTAAAGTCTTAACTAGGATGGGGCAATTGGGGATTTAGTCAGGGCAGCAAAATTTAGAAGGCACTGATAGCACTTAACCTCCTTCAGCAGCTGAAGAAACAACTGACCTTGCTTAGCACTTAGTGAGAATGGGCAGTGGATAGAGTGCTGGGCGTGGAGTCAAGAAGACTCACCTTCCTGAGTTCCAATCTGGCCTCGGATACTTATTGCCTGTGTAGCCCTGAGCAAGTCGTTTAGCCCTGTTTGCCTCAGTTTCCTCATCTGTAAAAGGAGCTGGAGAAGGAAATGGCAAGCCATTATCTTTGCAAAGAAAACCCCAAATGAGGTCACAAAGAGTCAGACATGACTGAACAACAATAATTAGCAAGAATAATTAGTTCAAATAGGAAGCTACCAGATGCTTCCCTTTTTCCACTGATCACCTTCCTCAGGTAGGCTCTTGTCCAGTCTAGCTCAGCACTCCCTCCCCAGCCTCAACAGTCGCAGATAACATTGAGCTGGTCTCAGGGTCTCTCCCCACTCCCGCTTTCCAATTGCATTTGTCTTCAAAAGTTGCTTTTAGGGCATATTTCATGCTGCTGGCAAGCCTCTGGTGAAGCTTGCTGCAGCTACCAAAACTGTTCATTGTGATTCATGTAAGGGGATGGAGAGAAAGCACTTAGTGGCTTCTGATGAGTTTAAGTTACCAGGACAAGGTGAACTGAGTCATAGGGCCATGGAAGAATCAGGCAGTTAGCTAATGAGCCATTTTCCGGGATCTTTGAAAGGTCATGAAAAGAATGGAAAGAATTCCAACAAAAATAAAGCCAAATGCTTCATAATTATCAGTGACCAAGTTCAGAACCAGAGAAGACTTGGGAAAATACACTGCCTCCCCACATGAAGGCAGGGTGGGAGGTGGGGGTAAGGGGGAGGGAATAAGCATTTACTAAGCACCTATAATGTGCTGGGTCCTGTGCAGAGCACTTTAAGAATATGTCTCATATAACCCTGGGGAGTAGATGTTGTTATTATTCCCATATTACAGTTGATGAAACTGAGGCAGACAGAGGTTAAATGACCTACCCAAGGTAACATAGCAAGTAAGTGTCTGAGGTCAAATTTGAACTCGATCTTCCTGACCTCAGGCCCAGCATTTTATCCACTATACCACCTACCTACGAGTATGAAATATTGCATATGCTATTAGCATAATAATTATATTAGTAATGTTGTATATGTATATATGTATAATATATATTACATATGTAGTAATATGTGTATAACCGTAATTATATCAGTTATATGTTGGCTTATTTTACTGAACAGCTTTTTCCTCTCTTTTTAAAACTTTATTACAAGAGACAGCTCACTGTAGAGGAGGGGTGAAGGGATCAGTTTGAAAATGAATGTGATATAAATATAAAAAGTATTTTGTAACAGAAACATCCTCATAAGATCATGGAGTGCAGCAATAGCACAGTCAGACTGGAGCAGGGCCAATGTCCCTATTCTCAAAAAAGGGAAGATACTAGAGTCTGCAAACTATAGGTCAGTGATTTTGACTTCAGTTCCCCACAAAATTCAACTTTTATTATTGAATTAATCATAAGTGAACTTGTAGAAAAAGAAGTAGGAATCACAGAGAGCCAGAATGGCCTCAGCAAGAGCTGGTCAGGAAACATTTTGGAGAGGTGGGGGGTTACAGGTGTGGAATGTTGCATATGCATGCTTGAGGTCCCTGTGTCACTTGGTTTTGCCTAAAGAAAAAAATATTTTTCTTTGTCACAAGAGAAGGCTCGTCGTGGGGGTTGGGGTGGAGGTGAAGGAAGCGGTGAATCCATCAAGAGATGACTTGTAGGGGCAGCTAGGTGGCTCAATGGATAGAGCTCTGGCCTTAGAGTCAGGAGGACCTGAGTTCAAATCCGACCTCAGACACTTGACATTTACTAGCTGTGTGACCCTGGGCAAGTAACTTAACCCCAAATGCTTCACCAAAAAGAAAAAAAAAGAGATGACTTGTAGAAGAAACCTCATAAAAAGGGCATTCAAATTCAATAAACATTTATTAAGCACCTTCTGTGTGCCAGGCACTGTGCTAAGTGCTGGAGATACACGTAATTAAAAGAAAGACAGTCCCTGCCTTCAGTCTCTGCCTTCAGTCCCTGTGTTCAAGGAGCTTACAATCTAACGGGGGGAGACAACATATAAAAGGATGCAGGAAAATAGGGCGTGGGGACACCAGGGAGCACGTGGCATGGGGGTGTCTTGTTCTGTGGTGATGAAACCAGGCAGAGCAGCAGATGCCAAGCAGAAAGAGCTGACAGTCCAGTTTCTGCCCTCTATAAAGGATGGCACTGAGAGGAGTTTGGTATCAATCAAGGACTGAGTAAAATTAATTTTATGACCCTCCCACCCCCCAGAAAGAGAACAGATCATCCGTAAAGTGCCCGACCACGCCTTCCATACTGTTTTGTGAACAGGATGGAGAGATGTGGTCTAAAAGGCAGTACAGTTAGGTGAATCCGGAACTGGCCGAATGGAGGCACTCAAACAGTAGCATTTATGATTCTGTGTCAACTAGGAAGGAGGTTTCTAGGAGGGCCCAGGGATCTCTGCTGCTTTTTCTCAGTGCCTTGGGTAGAGGCCTAGATGTGAATGATGCAGATCTGAGAAATAAGTTCTCAGTGTCTATCACAACCGATTTCTGTCCTCTGTTCCTATTGCCATCCCCTTGGTTCAGGCCCTCAGTGCCTCTGGCCTGGACTGCCACACTAGTTTACTTAGAGCTTCCCCTGCTCCCACGCTTCTTCCCCAGTCCCCTTGCTGTCTTCCATACTGCTCTCAGAATCCCCCTTTACCCCCACTCCACATAGTTGTGTCACGCCTCTCCTCTGCTTTAAAAAACAGAACAGAACTTAAATGGCTTCCTATTGCCTTGAGAGTAAAGTTCAAGGTCTTTTCGCATTCAATGCCCTCTACACCCAGGAGCTGCCTTTCTCACTTTGTTTCATAGTGCTCCACGTACTTTTCAGTCCAGCCCAGGGAGAGAGCTCTGCTCTCTGAACACGCCCTGCGCTCTGGGCCTGTGCCTGTGCCCAGATTGCTCTCTGTGCCGGCAAAGCTCTCCCTTCCCATCTCTACTTGCTGACCAGTCCTTCAAAGGCCGATTCAAATACTTCCTTAACCAGGCAGCCTTCTCTGATCCCCCAGCTGGTCACCAACCACCTTCCCCTGCAGCCTTCACACAACCCCATGTGATTTTACATCTCTGGGATGGATTTGGTAACTTTATGTATTATCTGTCTGTCTTGGGAGCTTACCCCTATATGAGACTGTGAGCCATGCAAGAGCAGGGATTCTTTGCCTCCTTGTATCTTACTCCAATGCCTAGTACAAGGCTCTGCCCACAGTAGGTGCTTAGTAAATGGTTGTGGAAGGAAGGAAGGAAGGAAGGAAGGAAGGAAGGAAGGAAGGAAGGAAGGAAGGAAGGAAGGAAGAAGGAAGGAAGGAAGGAAGGAAGGAAGGAGGAAGGAAGGAAGAAGAGGAAGGAAAGAAGGAAGGGAGGGAAGGAAGGAAGGAAGGAAGGAAGGAAGGAAAAGAAGGAAGGAGGGAGGGAAAGAAGGAAGGAAGGAAGGAAAGAAGGAAGGAAGGGAAGGAAGGAAGGAAGGAAGGAAGGAAGGAAGGAAGGAAGGAAGGAAGGAGGGAGGGAAGAAGGAAGGAAGGGAGGGAAGAAGGAAGGACGGAAAGAGAAAGGATGGAAGGAATATACTTTTGGCTCTCCAATCATACTATAAGATCCATGTTGTTCAGTCATTTCAGCCATGCCCAACTCTTTGTGATCCCGTTTAGGGTTTTCTTGGCAAAGATGCTAGACTGGTTTGCCATTTCCTTCTCCAGTTCATTTTACAGATAAGGAACTGAGGCAAGCCAAGTTAAGTGACTTGTCCAGGGTCACATAGCTAGTAAGTGTCTGAGGTCAGATTTGAACACAGGAAGATGAGTCTTCCTGATTCTCAGCTCAGTGCTCTATCTACTATGCCACCTAGCTACCTATAAAATCCATCTGTAAGGGTCTTGTGTTAGTAACATTATATGTGTTATGTGTGTGTGTATATATACACATACTCAATATAACGTTACACATATATTACATATCCATTAATATGTAACACAAATATTACATGTGTGATATAAGACTACATGTTATCTAAACTTAATCTCCTCCTTCCTTCATATTAGCCCAGTGTTCCACACATAGTAGTTGCTGAATTAACATTGTTTTTGTGATTTGTGATTCATCCTGGGAACCTGACCCCCGTATATAGTTCAAACGGTCTTCATAGAATCTCAGAATCGTGGCATTTAAGATGTGGAAGAGACTTCAGAAGCCATCTAACCCAACCCCCAAACGAAAGGAATCCTCAATATAATGTGCCTGACAAGTGACCCTCTGGTCTCTGCTGAAGACCTCCAAGAAGGGTAGCCCAGTGCCTCCAGAGGTGGCCCACTCCTTCTGCTGTCCAGCTCTCCTTGGTAAGATCCTGGCATCCATCCTCATTGGTCTCTTTGCAACTTCCACTCAGTGGTCCTGGTTTTGCTTCTGGGGCCAAACAGAGGAGGATAGATCCCTCCTCCACAAGATGGCCCTTCAAAAACTAAAAGGCCACAATGGTCTCCTCTCTCATTCTCTCTCCATTCCACTCCACACACCTAGTCTTTTCTTCTCTCAGCCACACACAGGTCTTGAATTTTGGGAATCCAGCCCTTTAGCAAACTGAAGCCAGGATAGTCTGTCATCATAATATCTGCCCTACTGGCCTGATATAACATAACAGAACAATAAGAATGGTGATAATGATAGTATTAACTCATATTTCTATAGTGCTTTAAAATTTGAAAAGTGTGCTGACTGGGTCTGCTATATATATTATGACTACTAAGTATTATTATTATTATTATTATTATTATTATTATTATTATTATTATTAATGATAACCATTTCTCCCTCAAATTCCAACCCTTCACTTTCAAATTCCATCCTGTCACCCTCAAAGTCTAAGCCATTGTCCTTACCTTGAGGTGGGATGGAACAATGGTGAGGGAGGGGACTGCCAACCAGGGTGAAATAGAATGGAGCCTCCATGGGCCCTCAGATGTGATGGAAGCTGGGAAAGCCTAGCAGGAATTCTGACATACTGACAAATTGGGCTCTGGTGATACCACTGATTGGCCCAGCACTCCAGCTAGTGTAATGCAACTGCTCCTGACAGTCCTGAGAGTAAGTGAGGGTGGTCTAGGGTTACCAGCTGGCCCAACTTGGAACTGTCGCCATGATGGGTTTGACAAAGGGGCAGCAGAGTGAGTGCTGTTCCTTTTCCTGATGGTGGGACAAGAAGGCAGGATACGTGGGAATAAATCATAAATGCCTACATCCTACTGATTTTCATCGTTTCAGTACAGACTGTTAAGTGCTATGAGTGCACATGAAATGAACTGAAGGCATGAATCCTTGCCATAAATGTGCCAATGTGGCATCACAACAAAACTAGAACCAGATGTTCCTGGTTATAGGCAGGGGCTTCAATCATCAATGTCTTTGTCAGGTGTACCTTCTTCTCCAAGTCATACAATAAGGTATTACTAACTACTGCAGGGCAATCAGAAGAGATAACTTCATCCCTAAACCTAGATTAAAGAAAATAAGAGGTGAAGTACAGGTACCAAAATCTCAGCAGGGAAATATTGAAGAAATTGAGGTCATTGAAAAGCTTTACTTAATAAAACTCCAGAGATTATAGCTAATATCAAAATAGATGACAAAAACAATACTGATATCTCAAATGATTATGAAAAGGAGATGGGCATGATTGCTAAATCCAATGGGGGGAGGAGTCAAGATGGTGGAGTATCAGGAAGAAATATAGCTGGGCCTTCCTCCATGACTCTTCCACAATGAACCAGAAAATGTACGAGACTGAGTCCTGACTAGGAAACCCAACAAAAAGTGACATTGCTTCTTTTTTCCAGTCCAGGTTAGCAAAAGGAGACAGACAGAGAGGTCTGCAGATTCCAGGGATGGGGTCTAGTCAAGAAGGGCCAGCTGGAGCATTCCAATGTATGGACTGAAAAAGGGCTAAAGCTAAGCACCTGGGCAAAGAGAGACCCACACAGAGGTGCCTGATTTTGTGTAGGATAAAGGAACAGGTGCCAACTAGTAACTCTACTGCTCACTACCCAGTTCTGGTACACAGATCTAGGGTGAACTGAGAGGACTTGTGCCCAGGGGTGGCATTTCAAGACGAGGAGTGATTGCATGCCCAAGGTTACGTACTAAGCAAAGAGCAAGTCCAAAAGCAAGAAACAGTTGTGTGGTGTTGAGCCCTCCGAGAGTCTCAGTTCCAGCATTCAGTCCAGTCTGGCACCTGAAGTGAAGTAACCAGTGCAGGAAACTCAAACCAAAGGGCGGGCGGTCTGTGGTGTTGTTGCTATGATCCAGCAGAGCTTTCCAGCAGGCCGAGTCCAGAAGAAGTCTACTGAAACTCCACCTATGGGTAAGCCCACAGGTATGTTGCTCAGACCCAAATGCAGGTCAGGAACTTGCAGGGCTCAGACCAGAATGGTGACAAATAGACTTTGCCCTGGATTCAAGGTTTCTCTGGGAACACTGAAAGATTTTCAGGTCCCCAGCTTGAACTATCCCTAAGATCTTGGAATGGCATAACACTCCATGTTCCAAGAAAGTAGCAGCAGGACCCAAAAGGACAGAAGCTCAGCTGAGACGTGGAAGTGAACAGAACCTGGCCCTAACATGAATTCTGAAGCCAGAAAGTAGGCTAGAAGAAAGAGCAAATAACAACGACAAGAAGAAGAATCCCATTATATAGAGCTATTATGGTTGTAGGGATGCTCAAGACACAAATCCAGAAGGAAAGAATGACTCTAAAACATCTACAAGCAAAGCCTCAAAGAAAAACACAGCTTAGGCACGAGTTCAACTAGAAGTTCTGGAACAGACCAAGCTAGAGTTTAAAAAATATTTGTTCAAATAAAATGAGAGTGCTAATAGAAAAAAAATGGAAAAGAAATAAGAGCTATGCAAGAAAGAACTTCAAATAAAATTAGCAGCTTTGCACAGAGGTACAAAATCTTATCTGAGCAACAAACCATAAAAATTAAAATGGACCAAATAAAAGTCAATGACTTCATGAGACAATAAGAAGTAAAGCAACAACATTAAAAAGGCTGAAAAATAGAAGAAAATGTAAGTTATCTCATAGTGAACACGGCTAACTTAGAAAACTTACTGGAGAGATAATTTAAGAATCATTGGACTACTTGATAGCTATAACAACAACAACAACAAAAGCCTAGACACTATAATCCAAGAACTCATAAAAGAAAACTTCTGAGTCTCTTAGAACTGGAGGGCAAAATGAAAAATAGAAAGAACCCACTAGTCACTTTCTGGAAGAAAATGAAAATGAAAATGAAAATGAAAATACTCCTAAGAACATTATAACCAACTTCCAGAGATTCTAGGTCAAAGGAAAAATACTGCAAACAGCCAGAAAGAAAGAAGTCAAGTACTGAGAAGCCACACTCAGGCTCACACATTACTGAGTAGTCACCACTATAAAAGAGAACTTGGAATACAATATTCCAGAAGGCAAAAAAAAAAAAATAAGGTTAGAACCAAGAATAACTTAATTAAAGAAAGATAAACTGTTTACATTCTAATATGAGGAGATGATACAGAAACCTATCCTCATCAGGGGTCATAGAAGGAATGTAATAAGACAAAGGGCCAGGAAGTGGGTTGTTTTTATTTTCTTAAGAATGGAAAAGGAGGGGAAAAGGAATATTGGTGGGAGAGGGGAAAGGGACACACTATGGAATATAGTAGATACTCAATAAATGCTTTTTGACTTGTTGACATAGTATGTATGGTAACAATTATGGTAAGAACCATAGGAAAAAAGATGGTGCTATCAAGCAATATGTCTAAGGACAGTTATCAAATGCTACCAAAGCAGAAGTGATTTGAGAGAGCTACTGAAGATTGATGGAAAGGATTTGGACAATTGCATTAATATCTAGCTGGGATGTGCAGCAGAAAACTTGAATGCCATATTGCCTGCTTAAAGGCAACAAAAAAGAAACCTATAGAATTAAATCTTGAAAACAGAAGGCTAATCCACATCCAAAAAAAGAACTGGTGGAGTCTGATTGCAAATCGAAGTATACTGTTTTCACTTTATTTTTTTTCATGGTTTTTTCCTTTAGCAAACTATAATCTTTTTTTTGCAAACTGTTTCTTCTTTCACAACATGACTAATATGGAAATAGGTTTTACATGATTGCACATATATAACCCATATCAAATTGTTTACCATCTTATGGAGGGGGGAGGGAAGGAAAGCAGGGAAAGTTTGGAATTCAAAATTTTATAAAAAATAAATGTTAAAAATTGTCTTTACATGTAACTGGAAAAAAAGAACTATTAGAAAAGAAAAGAAAAGAAAGCACAAACATATCTGAAATTCTAGATTTTCTGCATCAGCAATTAAAAGCAAAAGTCAGAATGTTCAAGTTGACAAAGCTGCACAAATAACAAAGTAAACAACCCAACATCAGTGAAGAACTTTGCTGTAGAGGCTTGAGAAGCAAAGGGTTCAGAGAAGAGAGAGAACCTTGAAGGAAGACTGTTCAGAAAACTTCCATCACAGAGACGGTCACAAGACCTGAAACACCACAAAAACACAAGCTGGATCAATTGAGAAAAAGAAAGCTTGATACTGTTAACAAAATGAACAACAGAATAATCACATCGAGGGAGAAACTTTAGTTTTAGAAACTAAAACTTTAGTTCCTCTACAAAATTTGAAAGCGGTGGGGCTGGATGAATCTGTAATTATCGGCTTCAGTTCTTTACAGTGGCACGTGAGTGATTAGCAAAGCTCTTTGCTGGCTTCTTCTAAAATGCAAGCCTGAACCCATCTCTCTTAACAGACGTCACTTGTCTACTACCAAAAGATGCCAGTGACTCTCTCCAAAAAGAGGCCAATTATGTGTGAAATATTACTAGCAAAAAGAGTGTGCCCAAACACCACAGGGGTAGAAAGAGTAACTTATTACTGATTCAGTCATTATTACCTTTCTTCTGAAAATACCTTCCATTTATCATGTATTATTTGTATGTGCCTAATTCTTCACGTTGTCTCCTCCATTAGAATGTTATCTTTTTCGAAGGCAGGGACTGTTTTTGCCTTTCTTTATATCCCCAGTGCATAGCACAGTGCCTGGAACACAGGAAGAGCTTACTAAATGCATGTTGACTGATTGATTGAAGAAACCACCCAAAAACACTACAACATTTTTTTTAAATTGTGTTCAGTTGTTTTTCAGTCGCGTCTGACTCTTCATGACCCCATTTGGGGTTTTCTTGGCACATATACTAGAGTGGTTTGCCATTTCCTTCTCCAGCTTATTTTACAAATGAGGAACTGAGGTAAACAGGATTAAGTAACTTGCCCAGAGTCACTCAGCTAGTAAGTGTCTGAGGCTGGATATGAACTCTGGAAGATGAGTCTTACTGATTCTCAGCTGAGTGCTCTATCCACTGTATCACCTAGCTGCCCTGTTTGACACAGTCCCACATTCATGGTCTATTCATGACCTGTGAGTATTTAAAACTACCACCAGAACAACAACGATAATAAAATGCTGGAATATTTGATGTCCCCATGAAAAACTGTTGTCTACTTAAAACACATCACCAACACAATCATGTCAAGAAAAATTCATATAAATCATGTCACTTTTCAAGGAAATAGTTTAAGTCTATTATGGTTCTGCCTTAACTCTATTATCATCTTTCCTAAATAGAACTAAGTATGGCTTCCAAATTAAAAGGGAGTCACCAAAACGTTTTATTAATCATTTAATGCAAATGGATGAAAATCTCCACTGAAAAACATATCAAACAGATTGTTCATTTCATGGGATCTTTCTCCAAAGATATAAAAAGGTCATTTGAACTTAATCAGTGCATTTTTTTTAAGACTAGGTCTCCCAATCTCACCTAGGCTGGAAAGGTGGTAGCCACTAATGGGCGCAATCCCACTGCTCTTTGGCACGGAAGCTTTGGCCCACTCTATTTCTGACCTGGGCCAGTTTGCACCTCCTTAGGCAGCCCAAACTCAAGGACTCGCCATATTGGTGTGGGATTTAATGCAGACACCCGATTGGCTTTAGGTCTACTGCAGTTTAGAACTTTTGAGCTCAATTGATTCAGAAGCCTCAGCTGCTCCAGTAGCAGTGATTACAGGCATGTACCATTATGCCTAACTTTTTTGAGTAGGTAGGGTGGGAATGGCTCAGAGTAATTTTAGATATATGCCAAAGAAAGATAGAGACTAAAGAATTCAACCTTTAATCAGGAGATGAAGTTGAACTAGTGGTCAGAGAGATATTTACAATACCTCGGTCTCCTCCAGGCGAGGCGCACTGAACATAAGGCTATTCAGGAGAAAACTACAGCTGTGTATTGTCAAGAGATTTATTGGCATGCTGAAATAAAAGTTCATTGGAAGAACATGTTTAAAATCATTAACACCTACACAATACTATCTTTTCTTTTTTGTGTGTATGATACTATCTTAATGTATACTTTCAGAACTCTAAAACAGACCATAACAGACTTCGAAAGTATCCTAACAGAAATCCATATGATACTATGAAATACGGGACCCATCACCCTAGGGCAGTTATAGAAAGATTGGTTCTTCTCAGAAAGGAGGAAGAAGATTGATAGAAATTATCAGAGCCCATTATCAACAAGTCAAACACCTACAGAAACACTTTTGAAACAAGCAGGTATCACTTAGCTAAGCAATAGCAAAGGTAGATAACGAGTATATGTCATTAGATTTGTCAAATGTAACAGAAATTGGCTTCCCTCCAGATGGAGCCTATGAAATGGCTAAGATCCAAGAGTGGAAGGTAAAGGTGCTCCATGGGGAACATTAACATGAAATCAGCCAACAGTACGTTGACAAAGAAAATTCAAATAAATGTCTGAGTCATGTAGATTTGTTTCTTGAAAAGGAGGGCTGTATGATAGTGATTTAGGATTAGTCCATCAGAAATTACCCTTAAAGTGCCTAGACTTACCAATCAATGCAGATTATGCAAGAAAGTGGTAGAAACTGCGTAACATATCACTTTCAGGCACCTGTCAAATACTTAGGCAAAACATGACCCAGGAGCTAGGATTATACACCAGAAGCTTGAAATCTTTTACAAACAGATATAAATATTATGTCCATACTATAAACACAGACATCAAAATAGCTTTGAGAATTCAAACAATAAACGGGACTAGAATCAGACCATTATCATAGACTAATCTGTTGCCACAATCAACAGGACATAACTGTTGATAAAAATGTTAAAGAATTTTTTTTAAACTACTCTCTCCAAAGTTGCCAGGGATCTCTTAATTACTAACTCTAATGGCCTTTTCTTAATCCTCAGCCTCCTCTACAATATTTGATCCATGTCGTTGTTGAGTTATTTCAGTCATGTCTGACCCTTTGTGATCTCATTTGGGGTTTTCTTGACAAAGATCCTGGAGTGTTTTGCCTTTTCCTTCTCCAGCTCCTTTGACAGAGGAGGAAACGGAGGCAGACAGGGATCAAGTGACTTGCCCAGGGTCACATAGCCAGGAAGTGTCTGAGGTCAGATTTGAACTCAGGAAGATGAGTCTTCCTGGTTTCAAGCCCGGTGTACTGCCTACTGCTTCGCCTAGCTGTCCCCAACAACAAATCACCTTCTCCTGGACACTCTTTGTTCCCCCGGTTTTCATCTCATTAGCTCTCTTTGGTTCTCCTCCTACCTGTCCTACCGCTCCTCCTCAGTTCCCTCTGCTGGATCTTAATCCTTGTCAAACGCCTAGCTGTGGATGTCTCCTTTAGCCCTGCCCTGGATTGTCCTCTTTTCTCTCTATGCTATCTCATTTAGTGACGACTCAGTTGTTGTCTCTATGATGCTGATGACTGCCATATTTATAAATCTATCTCTCATCCCTCTCCTGATCTGCAGTCCTGCATCACCAGCTCTCTGCTGGACATTTTGAACTGAATGTCCCACAAACATCTCTAAATCAACATGTCTAAAA